GTAATATACAACAATGCCGAGGTCTCTTGAAGAGGTTTGGACAAGTGATATTTACGTTCTCTGTGGTCGAGTGAGCAGTCCAGTGGCGGTGACTTCTTCCACTGGTTGTGCTGGTAACAATGCAGTGGGGAAAGGAGCTGGAATCTGTTTCAACACGAAGCGCTGTAGGATGCTGATCTCCTGGAGCACCAAAGGGTCCTAAAATCTGTAACACGCAGATGTGGCCCTGGAGTAGGTGCAGAAGGTCCTTAGCCTGGAACACGCAAGCTGGTCAATCCACTTTGTCTCTCTAGGATAGAGACTCTGGATGTGCTGCATCTGTTGTTGTCTCGTGGGACGAAGACTCTGAAGTCTGAACATAGAGTGTCTCTTGCCTCACAGGCTGGAGGCTCAGAACGTGGTTGTATCTGTTGCTTCCTCAAAAGCTGGAGATTCAGGACTTGGTATCCGTTATTGCCTTTTCCCTCACGGGCCAGAGGCTCAGAATTAAGGAATTTTTATGGCGGTCACAGACCAGAACCTTAGGAATCAGTCTCTGGGTGGGTGAAGGGCAGAAACTGCATTTTGACCAGTGAGAAGTCCTGTCCTTCCTGGGCTTGGTACCAGAGATCTTCTTCTTGCCCTCTAAGAGGTGTCTGGCTGTTGTCCTAGCATCTCTATCTGATGGCTTATATTAGTCCACCAAGATCCAATCAAAATGTATCAAACCTTTGTCCACTGTTGTGGTCAGAGAGGGGCCCCGCCATAAACTGGGCCCTGGAATGTGCTGTCCACTACACTTATTTACTTGTAATGCAGGCAATCCCAAACTTTTTTTGTCATCTGAACCTCTTTCCCCTAATATATTTACTTGAAGTACCCCTGAGATTTAAAATGAAATATTTTAATAATTAAATCACATTTGAATGTTCACGGTTCTCTGTCATTGGTTAATGTACACATGACATGCAGGTAAACAAATAAAAGATTTAATTTTGTTAGTAAGTGTTTTATATTGATTGATGTAATTTAAAAATTATTTATTTATTTGTACATTTTTATTATTTAATGAATTATTATATTTTCATTAAACTCACGAACACCTGGGCCTGCAGTTCCTTTAAGAACCCCAGTTTGGAAAACCTTGATGTAATGTAATTTAATGTTTAATGCACCTCATGTTGCTAATTACAATGAATGGAATATATTTTCTTACTGTTTGTATTTTGATATAATTGTTTTTTTTACAAGATTATCCTATATAAATCAATGTGATAAACAAGTTAGGCCAAAAGTAATCTAAAAGTATATATATATATATAAGTTAGGTAAATGTACATATGACAATTATAAGTGATAACTATAGACACTGATCTCTTAAGGAGCAGATTTTTGCAGAAAGATTATTTTGCAGATTAACTGCTGATATTTTCACTCTCCACATCAGCAATGTTTAAATTCCCTCCCCATGTTATTCTTGAGAAAATGTGTCAAGTCAACAGACTCTCTTCCTTCTCAAAGGGCTCCAAACATTAAACAATAAGCACAGCAGACTAAAATAGCCACAAAGTAAGATTTTTCCCCGTTTTTCTGTCAAACATTTGTTTGATCAAACCGTTAAAACAAAGTACACTCAGATGTCGAGTGAGAAATGGGGTTGACTGCTCAAGTTTCCATGAATTATAAGCTGAAAACAAAGTATACATTTGATATGCAGTGATACAGTGAGACGATTACAAGCCCAGCCCACAAAGATTGAAGTGCCTCATGGTGAAACGCACTGGACAAATGGTGCTTCGTCATCTAGTGGCAAATGGGACAACACCAAAAATATTATCTGCTGAACCTTATAAAATATGTAACTTTTTTTCTTTTTACCAGTAGCTACATAATTTGTCAAAAGTTTGGAATAATTGTGATTTTTTTTATATTGTTGAAAGAAGTCTCTAATAATCGAAGACTGCATTTATTTCATAACAAATACTGTAAATGGGTTAGGGTTAGGGTTCGTAAGTAATATATTTTAAATGTAAGTTATTTCTGTGATTGCAAAGCTGACCCTCCATGTGACCCTGAAGACTGGAGTAATGATGCTGAAAATTCAGCTTTGCATCACAGGAATATATTACATTTTAAAATATATTCAAATAGAAAACTGTCATTTGAAATTGTAATAATATTTCACAATATTACCGCATTTACTGTATTTTTAATCAAATAAATGCAGCCTTGGTGAGCATAAGAGACAAAAATCTCATTTATTCCAAACCTCTGACCAGAAGTGCATACAGTGTCATCCCATCCCAGGGATGAGTCAGTATTACATAAGACACAACACCAATCCACTGAACACAAGCTCACACTGACCGTGAGGACAGGCAGTTTTTGCTGCTCTTGCTGCAACCAGTAAAGGTAACCGGTCCGTCGTCATAGAAACTGCCAAGGGCCAGCTTCTGCCTAATGGACTCCCTCTCATTCCTCTGGGCCTGACGAAAACACAGTCGACTTCAATAAATGAAGAGAACGCTCACAGACACAGTCTCACAACAGGAATATTTGATGTGGCATTTTAAAATAGATGGCATCCACTTTCATACAGCAACCTACAGCGGCTCCTGAATGCTCATGACAGTTTAAATAACGTGCTGGATTTCAAGGGCATGAAGGTATTGGTGTGGAAAAAAGAGAGAAGCTGATGCTGGGAGTGTGGATGGGAATGTATGATATAAATTCTAATTTTGTGCTTGAGTCTAAATCACCGCTGCCTCAATAAACGGCAAATTACAGAGATGAAGAGAAAAAAAGGAGAGAAACCAGAAGCAGTACACATGGGAAGAGCACAGGCGCTCGACAAACATACCCACACAAACACATACCCAGCTATTAAAAAATATGTTCTAAGAGCGTTTTTCTAACATTCCCATTAAGTTATGAAAATAATATTTCTAAATGTTCTGAGTGTTCAAAACATCGGGTTTTTTTTCTGTTTTTTTTTCTTGGTTATATGAATGTGCAAACACTCCTGTTATCATTTTGCAAACATTATGGGAATGTTACTTTTGATATGTTCCCTGAACATTTTGAAACCAGTTGTAATATTAAAAAAAAAAAATTTCCCACTAAAAAAGAACATCCAACTAAAACACCTCTGAAAAACAGTTCCATAAACGATGCATAATGTTTTTGTGTTAATGTTTTAAAAACATTATGAAAACCAGATAACTTTGAACAAACGTTATATTAACGTTTAAAAACATTATTAAAACCAGATAACTTTGAACAAATGTTCTCTGTTAGATGGGTAAATACATAACTGTGCAACCATTCCTGATGTGATGACGCTATATTGGCAAGAATAAAATGTTCTCTCAGATCGTCATACTACGCTCAATTTATTGCCATGGCAACACAGTTGCCTTCTGGTGCTCAGAATGACTAACATTTTAAAAAACGCCTTGCACTCAACTCCAGTATAGCCTAATCAAAAGGCCTACTATGGTGAAAGTCAATAACTTTGCCTTCCTATATCAATAGGCACACTTATTTTTCTCTACCCTCCTGCCCACATTCCATTTTCAGGCTGATTGCAGGCCAGTTCCACTGATATTAACATTTCGATAAAAGGATACACAGGGTAGAGTTGAGGCTGATTCATGATGCATTCAAAAACTACAGAGGCAAATGAAAAACATCAATAGCTCAGCTTGTGATGTAATATTAACAAGCTGTAAACCAGGTTTCCTGTACATTCTGAAGAATGGTAACAGCTAGATTTGATTGCTTTCATTAGTGGATGAGATGTTGCCACAGACTAGCAGTTAATGCCAAGCAAATGCAACCATCCACACAAATGAAAAATATGACCTTGTGTGAGATGGGTAAAATTAGTTCTAATTCAAGCAGCACGTTTTCTTCAAAACTAAATCTACAAGCTTTTTAACATCCTTCACTCAGAAGGAAATTATTTTCTTAGCATCAAAAAAATAGATATGCACACATACAGACACACTCATATAAGGCACACAGATGCCACAATGCTTAAGACTATACAAGATATATTGACCTGTCTTACCTGGTAAACACATTTTTCCTGGTGCACCATCTTTCAGCGCATTGTATAGTGCAGCAGCCAAGCCCTACCTTCTACTGCAGTGTCTGAGCTACACCCTTGAGACCAGCATCACACACAAGAAAGGAAGGGGGAGGAGGAGCACAAGCATCTCGCAAAGAAACACAGCCACTAAAAATTAAATAAGGCAGTAAACTAGATCTGTGTTATGTCATCAATTTCACACTAGATGTTCGAAACTCACATAATACCACTCCCCCACAGTGGTAATGTAATGTGGTGTTTGGGTTTTGTCTTGTTCATGTTTTCATGTCTTTTATTTTGTAGTTTGATTCCTGCTGTTAGTAATTATGTTTGGATGTTTGGATTTCACCTTTAAATAAACTGCACTTGGGTTCTTCACTACACTTGCCTTCAGTGGACTTTCATTACAGGTATGTTCTCCACTATCAGGCACCTTACATTTCACCAGATACATAAATGGCCTAAATCAAATACTTTGGATTTAGGAAAGAAAAAAAAAAAAGACAAAGGATGTTTGATGGCATTTGATTTATTGAATGTTTGAGAGAACAAGGACAAAATGAATGAGCAGGAACCACTTTGCAGTCATTCCATAACCTATATTAGCATTCAATCAGGAGGCAATCTTTTGCCACATGCAGCATATTACCAACCTAATTCAAAATAGCCGCCCTCAGACCTCATTCAAATTTCATGGGAAGGATTTGGGATCAAAGGGTGTTTTTCATAACGAATATAGCTGGGTGGTTTATAGTATTTGGGTGGCTCTTTGGGAGGCTGTTTGACAGAAGGTTTGCATTCAGCAGCTGCAGTTGTAGTACAGGGTTGAGGAGTGGTGGTTATAGGTGATGCGGTAGGGGTTTTGGGAGGCTGCACTGGGTATTGTGGATAAAACTGCTGTAAATAAAGAGGATAATTGGGGTAATGGCTATACTGAGGGAATAGACTTCCAGGGTTGGGGGTTGCAGTTTCTGGGCGAACCTGGTGGGGGAGGTGTGGGGATGGCTGGTGCTGGTTTCTCTGTGGGCTTTGGTCTGACTAGATAATGGTCATCAGGGTAGTAATACAGCCAAAATATCTGGCGGTCCTTCGGAGGTTGAGGCTTCTTAGGTGGTGCTTGGGCAACTGATGTGGTGGTGGGAACTGGTTTCTCATTGGGCTTTGGTTTGCCATGATGAGGGTAGTGATCTGGCCAAATCATATGGGGGTACTTTGGAAATTGAGGCTTCTGGTTTGGTGCTTGGGCATCTGATGGAGGTTTCTCTGCTGGCTTAGATGTGGGATGATATGGCCAAATCATATGGGGGTATTTTGGAAACTGAGGTTTCTGGGTTGGCGCTTGGGCATCTATAGTAGGTTCCTCTGCTGGCTCAGCTGTGGGATAACACAGATACACATAAATACCTATGTTCCTGTGGCTCAGTGGTAGAGTATTGCGTTAGCAGTGTAAAAGATCGTGGGTTCAATTCCCAGGGAACACACATACTGGTAAAAAAAATGTATAACCTGAATGCACTGTAAGTCACTTTGGATGATAGTGTCTGCTAAATGCATAAATTATTATTATTAAATTAAATACCTGTCTGTCTCATTAACATTTAGAGATCATGAAATAAAAATGTTCATATCTTCCCTCACTTAGACTTCTGGGGTGGCGTTTGGTCATCTGATGGAGGTTTCTCTGCTGGCTTAGCTGTGGGATGATATGGCCAAATCATATGGGGGTACTTTGGAAATTGAGGCTTCTGGGTTGGCGCATGGGTATCTGTAGTAGGATCCTCTGCTGACTCAGCTGCGGGATAACCCTTGCCAGGATAATGGTAACGGGGGTAGTAATAAGGCCAAAACCCTTGCTGAAACACTCGAGGGTACCCATAAGGTGGAGGTTTGAGTGTTGCAGATGGTTCTGGCATTGTTGTTATTTGTAGAGTAAATTTATCAGGATAAAGGGGAGGCAGCAGAATCTGCTGATATGAAGGAGGATGAGGTCCTAGGAAGGTTTCATTTGCAGTTGTAGAGGTCATAGGACAAGAAATGACCCATTCTCTGCCAGAATATTTCTGTGAGTTTGCCTGTCTGTGCTCTCACTCCCTCCTTTTCCTACTCTTCCTTTCTCTCCCTTTGTGCTTTTCCCTCCTCCCTTCTGTGTTCTCTCTCTTTACTCTCTGTTGTCTTACCTCTCAATGTATACACGCATGCCCACATAGGTATATTTCGTCTTGGGTTCAAATGGTGAAATGATGGTGGGGGCCTCCTCATACCCAGGTTATTGAGTTCGGTCTGTCCTTTGCTCAGAGTTGAGGTATCCTTCTGCTAGATGTACTCCTAATATGGTCAGAACTTCCAGCCCATATTCCCATTTTATATAACGCACAGATGTAATGCATATCCATATGTTTGCCAACTGTATTCCTTATACATTCCTATTTGATATAGTGTACAATTCTTATTGAATAAACCACTACATCACCCCTTACAATGTATCTATATAATCTACTGATGTAATAATAAACTTTGAAGAAGTTTGTGGACAGAGACTCCATGTTCACAACTCTTTCCATGGGCCCATGAATTCATGAGTGGTGGGAACTGAGAATACTTTGGGGGTGACGAGAAATAACTAGATTAGATTAATTTATTTTAACAGTAACAGATTTAATGCCAGGTCAGCAGCCTAGGCTATTCTCATGGGAAGAGCTAGGTTATACAGAAGTTAATTTTAAAACACGACATTGTTTAAAACAATAGATTAAATTATAAAACTTTTTCTGATTAGATCTTATTAATTAGGTAGTTAAATAGAGCCTATTAAGTAAAACAATTGCCTTCTTGCATTAAAAGCTAATTAAATATGGTTAGGAAAATGGAGATGATATATGAAGCTAAGGCATGGCACACTGGGTGTCATGATTTTATGTGTCATCCTGATAATATTAATCATAGTAAAACATTTCATACTTTCATAAGTTAATACTTGCATATTGGATGCCTAAATCCAGAAAAACAGCCTTAGTATAAATGTTCACTGATCAGGAAGAGTGGGCATTTACGTGAAAATCTGATGAATAGTATAAGTATATAATGTTTGATCGGCTATGCTGTATTATTATATCAATTAATGATAAAAAGGGGGGAATTGTGGAAGGGGGGAATATTAATATGTTATGTTTTTTTAATATGATATGCTTATTGAACAGTGTGTTATTTTTACATTTTCTGTATTGCTTAGAGTCACATGCTTCTTTGCTGATTTAACAGAACAAAGAACAGCTATTGATCTTTAAGATGTGTGTGAGAGTAAAAGAGCACACACAATCCTTATTGTAATATGGAATTGTAATGGAATGGTAAAAGGGTGTTGGTACGGGACAGGAGGGCCTCCACCCAAGGATAGAATATGATAAGCAAGTCTAAGAATGTGGTTGAAAATACCATCATTGGCCTAGAGAGATAACATTCTGCAAGTTGAGACTATATGAGAGGAAGAATGCCCTTCCTTCACTGTCACACTCTGCAGCCACTCCAAATGACTGTAAGACTGCTGGCCTTTTCTTTCAAGAAAATAAAACTCAAAGACAATTGGTATTTGTCTCTTATTCAGAATTGTTTACTTTTTATTTGCCACAACCATTACAACAGTTGTTTTGAGAAAGATGGACCATTAACAACAATGATAATTCACACCCGAAAAAAGAAAATTCTGTCATTATCTGTCTCTCCACCTCCACCTGCATGCGGGCTATGGGACGGGCCAATGCCTGAGCCACACAGGCCTCCTCCTGCAGCCGCCGCTGTAGCCGCCAGAATTCTGAATCCTCTGATTCCAGGTCTTCCTCTCCTGTATCCCGGTCAGAGAGAGAGAAACTCTGTTTACTCTACTGAGACAGGGAAGAAAAAAAAGAAGAAAAAACAGGTGTTACAGTTCAACTGAACTGAGTCAAGTAAAGTCCAGTCACTGTATTTACATAGTGCTTTTTACACTACAGATTGTGTCAAAGCAGCTTTACAGTATTAAACAGAAAAATCGTGTGTCGAAGGAACCAAAACTCCATCGTTCTTCTCTGGCCAGACGAATCCAGCAGTTTAATTGCAGGCTGCAACACAGGTCAGATTGTGCAGAGGACTGGTCTGGTTCCTGTGGTCTTGTCCCGATGGCTGTCTCGGTGACGAGGTCTTTGGGGGGGATCTGTCTCTGGGGCTCATCTAGTTGTCCTGGTCTCCGCTGACATTCAAGGCTGTCGAGGGCGTCTGTATTAGAAGGTTTTCTTTCTGGCCCTAGAAGAGGAGAATCATCAGGGCTGGACTGGTGCTAAAATTCAGCCCATCTGGCCCACACAGTCCCCCATAAATGTTTTGCTGGGGTTAGGGCAATTGGAATAAATATTGATTAATAAATAACGAACGAAAACACATGATATTTTTGAATACTTAAAATGCATTTAACAATATTAATATTCTATTATATTGCAGGCTCTTAATTAAAAGTAAAAATGTATTTATTAAAATGTATTTGAAAACGCATGTCATCTGTCAAAAGTGTTAAGCTGGGCTAGAGTTAAAAGATAGTAGAATGAAATTATGTTAAAAGTTTATGAAAATTCAAAGTCAGCTGAATGCTGTTATCTGAGCCTGTGTGATAACAAGCTATTCATAGTAGAGTACAGTGCTTCAGTTCATAGACACAAATCACAGACATAGAGATGCTAAAAGAAATGATTGCCATGAAGAGGGCAATTTGTTGTTAAATGTGTCAAAGTAAAACTCAATGACTTTAACGAGGTCTTTAAATACAGACCTTGAATGATAGATGGCTACATTTTAGATTAAATTTATTCTATGACCAGTAACTTCTTTGTCTAATCATCAGTCTCCACCATGATGGAGGGCCAATGGCTCCGGTCAAAGATGTAGTAGAACATTAGACTTAACGGATGGTTGTGATAACTAAATTCACGGAGTATAATATCAGCACTGCTATGTTGCTGCTTTGAAGATGTCTAATGAATTTTAGTGATTAAATACTGCTATAATTAACCTGTCTCCCTGTTTACTATTAGGCAGTCCAAATGGCTCTGGTGGCTCTTGAATGCACCTTTCCTAAAGCTCCAGAAAACACTTGATTCAGTTGAAGAAAACTGTCAAAGGTTTTGGAATGGGAAAGAGCAGTTACCAGTGTGCATGAGGTGATTTTTCAGTGATGGGTAAGATCCTTTTTGGCCAGACAGAGGACAACCTAAGGCAGGGGGTCACGCCGCAACTGGGCATCTACCCTGAAAGGAAGTGTTTTATGTGAGATGGGTATGAGAGTGGAGCGGATGTCTGTGAGGCCAGCAGCATCATAAACAGGGGATGTGCTGTGAGAAATTACAGCAGTCTTCCCCAAAAATGTTCGTCCATACCACTCTTCAGAATCCGCATTCCTATATGATGGCTTGTTTTCCATTGTGACAAGTCCACAGCTTTATGCCAAGGGACAACACCCTGAGGAAAAGGAGACTATTTTTAAAGAGCTAATGGGAATGGGCTTTCAAGAGCTGAAACCATGAGGTGATTGCCCATAATTCCTGCTGTGAGGCCAGCAGCATCATAAACGGGATGTGCTGTGAGAAATTACAGCAGTCTTCCCCAAAAATGTTCCTCCATACCACTCTTCAGAATCCGCATTCCTATACGATGGCTTGTTTTCCATTGTGACAAGTCCACAGCTTTATGCCAAGGGACAACACCCTGAGGAAAAGGAGACTATTTTTAAAGAGCTAATGGGAATGGGCTTTCAAGAGCTGAAACCATGAGGTGATTGCCCATAATTCCTGGGGAGACCATAGCAAAATGTATTAACATGATGATGGTTGTCTAATGGGCAAGAACTGTATAGAAGTTTAGAATTCAGAATTATGGTATGTCCCTGAATCTGTGAGATGTGTTGATATTGAACTAATATGTCTCGATCCTAGTTTTCAATCCTGCAGGTCATTAGACATGGCACAGGATAATTCCAAGACATGGTGGTAGCTAAAGATGAAGACGGCTTTTTCTGATTCAAGAGAATGTCTGGATAACAAAGGTTAGGTGAATTCGGCATTTAAACTGAAGATAACCTTAGGAATGCTCCTAGCATAACATATTTTAGATTGTAATTTGTTTTTATTTGGAAGTTAAACATTTACATTTTATCATTTGTGAATGATTAAGGGTTCTATATTGTCATGAACGTAATATTACATTCTGTCTAAGTCACAGTCTTAGGAGGCTGTTGAAAAGATTATTTGTGC